TAAAGCAGTAGCAAAATATGAGCAGAAAGCATATTTTCCATGCAGCATTTCAAGCGCAGACGCATATGCAGTGCTGATGCCATAATTCAATCATCATCGCAACTTCTAACTGTAGATACTATAACATATATGTAGATACTGTAGATACTATATCATGTAGTAGATACTGTAGATACTATATCATATATGTAGATACTGTAGATACTATATCATGTAGGTAGATAGTGTATATACTATATCACATAGGTATATACTATATACTGTAGATACTACATCATAGATGTAGATACTGTAGATACTATATCATATAGGTAGATGCTGTAGATACTATATCATATATGTAGATACTGTTGATACTATATCATGTAGGTAGATACTGTAGATACTATCTATCAACAAGACTATATTGACCATTTCAAGTCTAATGTTAACTTTATTGGATATCTTTTCGTGGGAAAAACCGAATGTTGGACGCCTAATAAGATACCATTATTCCGGTTCAATTTATTCAATTTAATCATCACACAAATTGAGGCACTTTTCCATAGATCATACTCGTACTATTAAATGAAAATCTTGTTGCTAAATAATTATCTTACATTTTTTTAAAGGCCTCCCACACTCACCATTCCAACAAAAAAAAAAGGAATTGATTTTATTAATTAAAAACAGGGAATGGTTTCATGTCAATGATCAGGGCCCAAATTATTGACGTGCGACTCAGCAAAAGTGTCGACGCAGGTTGCATCCCAGCACAAACACCTCCCATTAGAAAACGGGAAAACCGTTAAGCCATCTGGTCTCTTACCATCCCCTCTGTCCACTCCAACGGGTTCAAGGCATGAAGGGACGCCAGCGCCCTGAAGAGCCCTCTTGATCACATCGTTCAGAGCCGAGTGTCTTGGATGTCGCCCAGCGCTGTACTTACAAGAAAGGCCATGCAGCCCTCGTGCATCCATCCACTTTCCGCACCGACAAGTGTGGGGTTCGCATACATTTGCGCCAACTCGAAGAGCAATTGAGACGCGGAAGGAGTCGGGGTCTAGAAGTGTTCCAAGAGCATCCGAAGGAATAGCGTGAAGCCACAAGCCACTCTCTCTCCTCGCCGCCGCAAGTAGCCGAGCCCTGGATATTTGGTCCGCCGCTCCCAAAAGCCGCGCCGCGGAGGCCGCGGCCACAGGCCCACCCCAAGTCCTCTGCCGGCCCAAACTCGCGTCCTCCATCTTAAAATGACATCGTAACGATATTTTGAGGTCGAAAATGAAAACAAGATGCTGAGAGAAAATTTGTCATCAAACTACATTACTTCACCAACTCTGAGCTTTCATTATATATATGAAAAACTTAGAAAATGAAATCACCATCGTAGTTCACGATTACTCCTAGAAAGAAGCTTTTAACATTCGGTCTCCAGGCTATCAATGTTTCAATGTAAGGCCTAATTTAATTGCTACTTTTTTCGGGGCGTTCACAGGAAGGTAAAACTTTCCGGAAAAATTCCGGACGATTTAATTAATGATATTCTGCGGACATTTCAATTACCCGCCTCGATTAATTTCCTGGAATTATTTCGTGGCCTCTCAAAATTAATTATTTTTTCGTGCCGGAAAGGCTAAAAAGGCTGCCTCAAACCTAACAATTTGGTTCACAAATGAGGTTGCTGTTTATCTAGTATTTTTTTGCCTGTACTATTGAGTGTAAAAAGTTTCTTGGAGGTACGCATATTTAGCCTGAAAATGTGAGATCTTTCAACGTACCAAGACGCCATGAATTTCCGAATATGATGAATAAAAGCTGTTTTATAGATTATGAACTCTGGTCGTTCTCTCTCGGCGATTTTTGTGTGACATAAATAACACGATAAATAAAGATTAAGTATTGATTAGAATGACGATTACTATACCATTATAATGGTATAGTGGGTATATTGTTGCAGTTATTTCTTATAATTTCATGAATATTTTCCGATTGACGTTTAAAATCCAGAGGTGATTGATGTCAGTGTTATTGCATCCAGATCTGCAGCGTGACTTGTTTCATGAATCCGCTTGCACTGCATATATATAAGCGTTAATGAGGTCGATATTTATGGATGCGAGGAAAATGTTTGCATAAAAAATGTTCTGGTAAGAGCGTGTCGGCCGTTCCACCTGAATATTTCAGTTATCCCCTAGGGTCGCTCACGTTGGATTTGGCTGTCAGGTCAAAATTTGCGAGCGACTCAAATTTGTCTTGCGCATCCCGGCAGAATTATTTGCTCCCGGGAATTGACAGATTAATCAGTGGCTGGCTGATTATTTATGCCTTGCTGAGGAGAAAATGCATGAAATGATTATGTAATATTTATTATATGTGCGGGCTAATTGACACGTGTATAATTCGTAGCATGGGACTGGACTAAAACTTCTAAATGCAGAAGTAATTTTGAGTATTATTAATAAACCTATAATTATTAACTATAATTAATATTCATGCAGTTCATTTCACGATTGGATTATACATGTATATTTGCATCTGATGTTTTCTGCACGGCTAGCACAGGATGAATTTTGATTTAGATGAATTTGGTGTACGCCTAAAATCAGTCCTATTTCAGATTAAAGACAAGAAGAAAACTGAGCGAATATTCCGAAATTAGGTTAATTAAAGAAACTTTAGGGTGATAAACATGAAGGAATTATGATCGGAAATTAAAGCTCAGTTATCGTTGTCCAAAAACTGACTTTTCAGTGGCCATTAATATTCTTGCAGTTCCTTATACGATCGGATTATTTTTGCTAGCAAGGTGACAGGCTGCTGAATAATAATCCTTTATTTTAAATTATTAATTATGGAGGAAAACTTGTAATAGTGACACTTTTTCATTGTGTCATGAAAATTGAAAAAATGCAGAACTTCTCTCATTGAAAAATGCAGAACTTCTCTCAGTATAACTTATGAAGATCTTACAACATAAGAGTATATGTCCTAAGCTAAGTTAAATGATCTCCCTCTTTAGTTGAGAATAGAGTAAAATCTGCAGCACTTTCATGGTACGTAAAACGATCTAACATTTTCAGGCTAAATAGCAAAGATCTCTCATATTCGGGTATATATAAGAGATTTTTTCCTTCCACGGCAATAAAAAGAATTTTGTGTAACCCACAACCCTAATTTCCTCTTGGATAAAAATGATTTAACGTGTTCACGTTTGCAGCATTCCGACGTGCCTGACGCACCGGATTTTTTTCTGTTCTACATAAATTTTGAGGAAGATTCCAAGCAAAATCTTTTGAATTATTCGTCAGCTTATATAAAGCGGACGAAGCAAGCGAGGGAAGATGGATGTGTTGCTTAAGTGGGTTAGGTCCCGACGGCGAAAAAATATTATTTGTTACGAAAAGAAATTGTGCGTGTAAATTTATAAACATCCGTTATTTAATTATGTTTTTAAAAAATGTTAATAAATTGCTGATCTGTCGCACGTTTCTTATTTTAGTAACTCGTATCGCGGTTCAAAATGTTGTTTTGATTTTATTTTCAAGATCGGAATATTGCATAAGATTGCAATAAAGTTGAGCCCAAAAGAAAAAAGAACCACCAGGCGGAAAGGGTTACAAATGATGAATTGATAGGCCATTATATATTTTCTGTAACCAAGAAAATTGTGAAGAATAGTAATTACCATGAATCATTCTTTTAACAATTGAAGACGGTTTAGTATAACGCGATGTAAAATTTCGAGGTCCGGAACAAGACAGATTGTAGCCAGAACACAACAGACTGCGGTCCATAACACAACAGACTGCGGGCCATAACACAACAGACTGCGGGCCATAACACAACAGACTGCAGGCCATAACACAAACACAACAGACTGCAGGCCAGAACGCAACAGACTGCAGGCCAGAACACAACTGACTGCAGGCCAGAACACAACAGACTGCAGGCCAGAACACAACACACTGCAGGCCAGAACACAACACACTGCAGGCCAGAACACAACAGACTGCTGGCCAGAACACAACATATCGCAGGTCAAAACGCTGCATAACACCGGCCAGGGTCTCGACGACGACCCAAAGGCGTCCTTGTCCTATTTTACAAGAATTTACACGTGTCGCTGCGTGGGCTAAAAGCGCTAGAGCTACGGCCGCGGCTACATTGCCCATCATGAACACTCGTTCTGAGAAAATAATTGTCTTAATACTATTTCCTTATGCAACAAGCAATCAAGGAAAAATTATTCTATTATAAAATAAGTATTGTTTAATTCCAATTATTTCATCAACTACTTTTCCTCGTTAACTTTGACACATTCACCATACGAACACCATTCAAGAGTTTTGGAATAAGAACATCTTATTTTGGCAATACAATAAAACAATAATCATTCCAATAGTATAGAATTATCAAACTAGTTTAATTTCGGTAAGAGTGAATAATGATTTGAATGAAATAGACAATAAATATTTTGAAGAACCTTTCCATCCGTTTCAAGTTATTTCGTAGTAGATTATTGTATTGTATTCCCTTTACGTCTATTGTAGTAATATATAAAAATCTTTCACATTTCCGTGGTAGATTATTCCAACTAACCGCATGAAAATTATGTTTTCATGCGATTTCATAAAATGCACATTATAGACGAGACTAATTCAGAAATAAGATAAACATGTAACCGGACTTCATTACTCAGCACTCACCACCTCAGCGTGCAGGGCGACGTTCTCCCAGCTGAGCCAGAACCTCGAGAAGTAATAGAAGTAACAGAAGTAATAGAAGTAATGGAAATAGTAGAAGTAATGGAAGTAAAAGAAGTAACAGAAGTAATAGTATTACAAGTAACATGACTGCATTACTGCACTCACCACCTCAGCGTGCAGGGCCAAGTTCTCCCAGGTGAGCCAGAACCTCGAGAAGTAATAGAAGTAGTAGAAGTAGTAGAAGTAGTAGAAGTAATGGAAGTAACAGAAGTAATAGAAGCAATAAGTAACATGACTGCATTACTCAGCACTCACCACCTCAGCGTGCAGGGCGACGTTCTCCCAGGTGAGCCAGAACCTCGAGAAGTAATAGAAGTAACAGAAGTAATAGAAGTAATGGAAGTAACAGAAGTAATAGAAGCAATGAGTAGCATGACTGCATTACTCAGCACTCACCACCTCAGCGTGCAGGGCGACGTTCTCCCAGCTGAGCCAGAACCTCGAGAAGTAATGGAAGTAACAGAAGTAACAGAAGTAACAGAAGTAACAGAAGTAATAGAAGCAATGAGTAGCATGACTGCATTACTGCACTCACCACCTCAGCGTGCAGGGCGACGTTCTCCCAGCTGAGCCAGAACCTCGAGAAGCCGTGATGGGTGAGCAGCTCGTGTTGGTGGATGAACAAGAAGATGAGAGCCACGCAACATCCTGTCATCCATGTGAGTACAGGACGAGATCTGCACGATGTGTCATGTGCACCACATGACAACTCACAATATCTTGCATTAGTTCCTTCACTCTCACTATCTGTTAAATTAGCACCGGCATCCTGTTTGCACTTTTGAGATTTGTTATCATATCTAGAATTAACGTTTCTTTTTCTATTATTTTCAATAATATTGTTGGCACCGCACTTGTTGTCCTTAATGAGACTACTAGTCGCAGTTTTGTGCGAGTTAGTAAGTCTCATTAATTTCCTATATCCCTTTAGCTTTCTAAGTTTTTCAACGTCGACGCGGCTTTCGGTGATGACAGAAAGGAGCGCAGCCACGCGCTCCTCCCCCGACGACATCGCGGCGTCTACTGAAGAAGAATTTCAGACCCGACGTCTCGTGACGCCGACGCGCCGTCGCGAGTGCCAAGCGCCCAAACTGCCGGTGCCTTTACGACTGCTTCTTCACGTAGCTGCAAACATTTGATTTAAAAATAATTCCTATTTCACTATAAATACAGCGCTCACTTGTTGTTAACAGGGCATACGTGGCAAAGAAAAGTATTGAGGTCCAAGAAGACATGTGAATGAAGTAAAGAAAGTAAAAATGTACCAATTGTCACCTTATAAATAAATAGTCGCCTTATAAATGTCGCCTTATAGTGATAGAAAAATCTGAAGACGGGAACGGACAAGTTGACCAAGCAGCGAGTGACCTCGAGCCACAGGTCAGGCGCAGGTATACAAGCACCTTCGCAAGCAGGTTTACTGACAAACTCATGCACGCAGATTCAAGGCTAGAAATGCTCGCAGGATTATGGACATTACTGCAGACCTAGCTGCTTCTGAGCAGGTTTATGAGCAGATCTGCTCGCAGGTTCGTGTGCAGGTTTTCACTCAGGATGACGACCAGGTGTGCTGGCTAATTGGAAAGATTTCCAGGAAACTCAGACTTTCAAGTTTATATGCTAGTTTGATAGCACGTTATTAATGAAAATGTGGTAGGGCGTTCAACTTGTGGTTGTTTTATAAGATGTGAGGGAAATAGCTTAAGGGTGGTTTGAAAGTGTGAGGGAATGGTTGTCGCTGCGGGGGGATGGCAGTCGTTGAGGGGGATTGGTTGAAGGCGATGGGAAATGGTTGAAATTACGGGGAATGATCATAGGTGATGGAAGTAAAATTATGGTTCCTCTGTAAAGATGTGAACTAAATTGTCATTTCCGTTATTCATAGCAAACTTCTTTTAGTTTAAAATATATTTTTACAATTTGAAATCGCCGAGCTTTTGATTTTTGTTATTCCCGCTTATATTTGTCCAAGACTTATTTTATTAAATCGAACTCAATGTTGGAAAAAATTTACACACGAGAATGTAATAAATACGTGCGCATAACTATAAATACGTGCGCATAACTATAAATACGTATGCATGACTATAAATACGTGCGCATAACTATAAATACGTACGCATAACTATAAATACGTGCGCATGACTATAAATACGTGCGCATAACTATAAATGACAAGGGTTATTGTCATGAACAATAACCCTTGCAAAAGAACAGGACCTCTCCAAGAGACCAATGTAGTCTATAAATTTTCTTGCAATAAAGAAGGTTGTAGACTTCTTCCTAATATGGACTACATCGGGCTCACAGAATGCACCAGTATCGTTATGCGGTGCCCCGATCCTATACGACTGGCTATAGCTGAGGCCCTCATCATTAAGCAGAGGACTCCAGCTATCAACCTTCAAACCACGGCTTCGTCAGAACTTTGAGATTGTTTTCCGAGTAGTTTTTTGCGCCTGTAAAATCTTCCTGTAGTATCACATTAACGAAATTTTAGCATTATTTGAATGGTATCCAATTTACTTGATTTCGTACATATGTCAACCCAAATTTCGTTACTCAATGCGTCTTTAACTTGAAAATGTATGTTGTACATTTGAAACGTCGTTCAATATTAAAAATGTCTATCGGTAATTTAATTTTCAATCTTCCAACACCTATACGAAGAGTTTAGTACGACTTATTGAAAAACTAACAAGAAGCTAATAAATAAAACTAATTCTCTGGGTCTTTAACAAAAATTGCTTAAAAGAAGAAATTCTGCCAGCCTACACTAATAACTATAAATACGTACGCATAACTATAAGTACGTGCGCATAACTATAAATACGTGCGCATAACTATAAATACGTACGCATGACTATAAATACGTACGCATAACTATAAATACGTACGCATAACTATAATTAAGTGCGCAAAACTACAAATACGTGCGCACAACATAGATGTTTGTTCATAAAATATATTTTAATTTCCTGCATGTAGTCGGGTTTGTCACTTTCAGTTTCGCTGTCGTATTCGCAAATTTCAACCAAACAATATTTTTTGTGAGTTGTGATTGGTTTTTATTTTTTCATTTTTTCGTTGCGCCGAATTTATGAATTAAATTTTACATTGTTTTCAGTACTTCTTAGAATAATACTTCCTTGTTCTTGTCGCCTTGAGACCTTGCATGGCGCTTCGGGAATGAAGCTGACGTGAACGCGATTGGTGAAATTTTTAAGCACTGAAGCCGAGACTGAGACGTTAATGGGCGACCGTAATTGATGGAGGAGGTGATCATTCGGGAGTCAGGCGAGACTGAGACGTTAATGGGCGACCGTAATTGATGGAGGAGGTGATCATTCGGGAGTCAGGCGAGACTGAGACGTTAATGGGCGACCGTAATTGATGGAGGAGGTGATCATTCGGGAGTCAGGCGAGACTGAGACGTTAATGGGCGACCGTAATTGATGGAGTAAGTGATCATTCTGGAGTCAGGCGAGACTGAGACGTTAATGGGAGCCGTAATTGATGGAGTAAGTGATCAATCTGGAGTCAGGCGAGACTGAGACGTTAATGGGAGCCGTAATTGATGAAGGAGGTGAGCATTCGAGAGTCAGACGAGACTGAGACGTTAATGGGCGACCGTAATTGATGGAGTAAGTGATCTTTCTTGATTACTTGATGTAGTCAAGGCAATGTTTACGTCCGATGATCATGGCTTAATGCAGGCTGTACATTTTCGAGATCAAATCTAATAAAAAATGCTCCACTTAGCCTTATATAAGTTTGCTAAAGGCTAAGTTTTCAACACTACCATGTTTTTCATCCTGCACTTGTTTGAAAAGATTTTCATCCAGTTCATTCCCTCTAGCAGTAAAATTACATTATAACGAAATTGTGATGTAAAAGTGAGACTTCTATAGTTTTTCATTGAAATGACATAGTTGATTTTAAAACCTAATTTCGGTTTATTTCGTAAAGCAAGCTTCGACCTCACATGTATACGAAAATTGCGTGACGGTATATTTTTAGTCCCGTTATAATTTTGAGAAATTTTTCATTTATTTCTCAAAAAATAATCCTAATAAAAAATTTGCTGCGCATCGCAGTTGTTTTCGAATTGCTACCCTCACATATGTTAAAGAACGAAATCACTCAACCACGTTTACTATTGAACTCCGTTGTGTTTCATGACGCCAGCCGCTATCAGGGACGGCATGTGCTGCTGCCTCAGCTGCCGACACAAAATTTTTGTTATAAATTTGGGGCCACGGCGAGTCTGGCGCAGCGTGATACGCCCTGACGCTTGTGATGAATGAGGCGTAGATGATGGTGAGCGTTATTGGGCGCTGGAGTTATTGAGTGCCGGTGTTATTGCGGATACTGTTGTACGGTGAGGGTTATTGAATGCCACAGTTATTGCGGATACTGTTGTACGGTGAGGGTTATTGAGTGCCGGTGTTATTGCAGATACTGTTGTACGGTGAGCGTTATTGAGTGCCGGTGTTATTGAACGGTGAGCGTTATTGGGTGCCGGTGTTATTGCAGATACTGTTGTACGGTGAGCGTTATTGAGCGGCGGAGTTATAGCAAATATAATTGTCTTTCACTAACTATGCATACATCAAGCCTAGTGTCCCACCAAATATCATAACGTGACTACCTATATGATTGATGCCTTTAATTTTATGATTGTTATTGAGAAAATTGCTGATAACAATTTGTATATAAATTTATTTATGCTGATAACAACTATTTATTCATAAGTTGATGAGGACTGAAGTAGCCATGTGTTGCTAGTCCAGTCAGGATATAAATATCCGTGGTATCGAATTGCGACTTTCGGTCACAGGATGTAGGAGTCCGGACTGAGAATCTGAAACGTTCCTGACACAAACCAATAATATTTTTGACCTGCTTGGTTACAGAAACCTACCTGCGTGAATGAATATATAAACGTGCACAAATAATATATCAACACTGATCAGTTCGCTATCTAATATGAATAATCGCAAACATGATAAATTACAGAAAATAACACAGAAGAATAAAATAATATTGCACAGTTCTGTGATAACGCTCTTCGGCCGCAAGAAAACAAAAAAAATAATAATAATAATAACGCAGACCACAATATAAATTCGAATCGCAAAAAAAGAGATGAAAATGATGTTCAACAGTAAGAAAAATTTTAAAACCCAATACTGTATAGCCTTTCAAACCATTCTAAAAATATATATATTTTTTTATTTTTCTATGTTACATTGCTGCAAGGTCATTGCACATTTAGGGGGCGCTTATTGACATTGCGTGCTGGTAATATTACATGTACTTTGCTGGGAGAATGTTATGTTGTCGGAATGGAGTTATTCGAATTCTGGGAAAGGAGAAAGT